CATAAAGATGAACCTCATAAGTTCATAAAGATGTCAAAAGGCATTAAAATGGTGCTTATACTGTATATATACTATATACATAAAATGGTGCATCCATACTAAAATGAGGTCTCAAATGTAACATTCTACTATTCTTTTTTTTTTTTTTTTTTTTTTTTTTTGTCTTTTTCCTTTTTATTGGTACCGGGGATTGAACTCATGACTGCCTGCTTGCAAGGCAGGTGCTTATGCCGCTGAGCTAAACCTCCAGCCCCTACATTCTACTATTCTTAAAAAACAATTTAGTTGAGAAGTATTTAGTATACACAAAAAAGGACAAAAAAAGACAAGTACTTATATATTCACCACTCACATTTAACAAATTTTTTTTTTTTGGTCTTTTTCTTTTTTATTGGTACCGGAGATCGAATTCACGACTGCCTGCTTACAAAACAGGCGCTTAGGGCTGGGGATTTAGCTCAGCGGCATAAGTGCCTGCCTTGCAAGCAGGGAATCGTGAGTTCGATCCCTGGTACCAATAAAAACGAAAAAGACAAAAAAAAAAAAAAAAAGCAGGCGCTTATGCTGCTGAGCTAAATCCCCAGCCCCACATTTAACAATTTTTAAACTGATTATCCCAAATGTTTTTAAATGTCCCTTATCTTCCATTCCTATTTCTCTCTGGGAGAAAAGGGAAATAAAAGGCAAACACCACAGTCTTTAGCCAATGATATTTCTATGTACAGTTGTATCTTTCATACCTACATACCCTTCTAACACTACTGATTCATTCACTTTATATGCTTAAATCAATTCTATGGTTTTCCATGATTCACAAAAACCCCCAACATCGTTTAGTGAAGATTAAATAAATGCAAAAGAATTCTAACAGTGCCTGGTTCATAGTAACTGAAGAGTAAAGGTAAGCCTATTATTACAACTATTATTATCACTATATTATATTGTAGTACTATTACTATACTATATCGTTAATTACTGATACATTTCCAAGCATTCCTTAGCTTTATTTAATCACTAAATACTAAAATTGTTGGTTAAATACAAATAAGGTAAAATTACTGTATAATCTAGCAATTCCACACATTTACCCATGAAAAATGAAAATGTCCAAAAAAACCCTTGCATGTAAATTTCACATTTCACAGAGTTAGTCATAATAGCTCAAAAGTGGAAACTGAAATCTCCATTAACTGAGGATGGCTCAAAGTGGCTTACACATAAAATGGACTGTCCAGCAATAAAAAGTAATGAATACATTTACATCATAACATGGACATATCTTTATATTCCACCAAATGAAAAAAAATAGTGACAAAGACCACATATTGTATAGCACTTATGTGAAATATAGCAATAGGCAAATTTATGAAGTTGGGCAGTACAGTGGCACTGACAATGAGGTTTCTGGGATTATGAAAATTTTTACAATTAGACTATGGTAGTAATTCTGCAACTATGTAAATATATTAAAAACCAATGACGTGTGGATTTAGCTCAGTGGCTTAAGTGCCTGCTTGGTTATGAGTTTGATCCCCAGTACCAAAATAATTTACACTACTTCAAAGATGTACGGTTTTTTGTTTTTGAGGCAGGGTCTTGCTATGTAGCCCTGGCTGGTCTCGAACTAATGGTGACTTCCCTGCCTACGCATCAAGATTGCTGGGATTACATATGTGTGCCACCACAACCTGCTCAAAGAGGTAAATTTTACAGGCAGAATATAGTTTTATCTCGACAAAGTTGTTAAAAAAAAAACAAAACACAAGTTAAGCCACAAAACAGGGGTGGTGAGAAGCATATTAAAATGTGAAGACCTGCAGGAGAGAATCTGCATTAGGTTGCAAAGACAAATCTGATGGTAAGCACAGTTAGGGCTTCAGATACTAAAAGCAATTTGTGTAAAGAGTTCCCTACCCTGGCAAGCTAGGAATTAGGAACACAGATTAACTTTCCACAAAGGAGAAAATTATTCGGTTCTTTCTGACACCACTTTCTAAACACACCCTCCCAAATCCAAATAAAATTTGTCATCTGTATAATTACCTGATTAAATCAAACCTTTCCTTTCTCAAATCTGTTAGTTTTAACAAGGTCTCATTATTTGAGAGAATTTCAGATAATCAACAGGTATACACATCTGGGGAAAATGGAGAATTGGGAGGATGAAATCTAAAGAAGACTATAGATCTGACATTTGAAAAACTGCCTAATAGTACAAATGCTGAAGTACATTTTTTATAAAACCACATCTCCTAAAAGTAATCTTCTATGGCATTTCTTAATTTATTATTTGGTATAAAATACAATCATTTGTGGATTATTTCTGAGTGATAATTATAATGCAGTGCCAATATCAGACTCACCACTTTTTATTGTTTTTGAGACAGGGTCTCACTTGTAATTTAGACTGGCCTTGTACTCACTATGAAGCCAAGGCCGGCCTTGAGGCAATCCTGCTGCCTCAGTCCCCCAAGTGCTGGGACTATAAGTATGTGCCACTACATCCAGCTTTCCATCACCTCTTCAACTGTGTGACATGGAGTTATTTCTTGAGACTTTAAATGTTCTCAATGTTTAAACCGACTAAGTAACAATTCCCGTTTTAACATGTGGTTGTGTGAAGGAATATATTCTAAGTACCTAAATATTCAGCACTGTGTTTGGTATACACTAAGAACACAAAATTGTTTTTCCTTCTTTAATTTCGGGTGATCAGTATTTATCTCAGCAATGAAAAAAGAACTAAGACAGACTGACTAGATTTTACCAAATTCAATTTCAATTTCAGCAATAAAAACTTCCCTCTGAAGCCACTAATTATGACTGAATGTAAATCTTCGCATTTCATAGACTAGAAACATAAAACCCTCCAAAACAGAAACACATCACTGTTAGCTTAACTTCTGAATAGTTGTTTCTTACCTTAAGTAACCTGGAAACTACCAGCCAAAAATTCTACTTAATTTTCTCGTAAGTCACAATGAGCTTTGTCTGAGCACTGCAATTCTGGCCTCGGCTGTCCACGAGGAAAGGTGCTCCAACTGGATAGTCGTTTAAGTCACAGGCAGACAGGCCTGGCCCAGAATGAGTTTATACAACTGCTTGCTTCGGCTGAGAACTGAGCCAGCCAGGATCTAAGGACCATGTGCATTATATAACTCCCACGAACGGACACAATGTCATTCCCATTTTACAGGCGGGCGCGCGGGGTTGAGGACCTCGCCAAGGTCACACTCCCAACCCATGCAGATGCGTCGATCCGGACTCGGTGGCCGTTTTCATTCTCCCAAAGCCCAAGCTCTGTCCAGTCCGCGGCTCCGTTCGCGCCCAGGGAGCGCAGCCTGGAAAGGCCTCCCTGACTGCCGAGCGCCGCTCCACAGGTGGGCCGGAGGCACCCCCACCCCGTGGCGGCAGCCCGGGTCTCCGTCCCGCTCGGGCGGGCGCGCCAGCTCGCCAGGTCCCCCGACCCCCGCGCCCATTGTTCCCGACCCGGCTCACCTCGGAAGACGCCGGCGCAGGCCCGGCCGAGGCGCTGGAGGAAAGCTCCCCGCGGCCCGGGAAGCTCGGTCGGTGACGGCAGCAGCCGCGAAGGCGGACCCGGCGACTCCTCCGCCTACCCCCAGCAACCGGAGAGGGCGAGGGCGCGTCCCCCTCCTCGCGAGACAGCGGGGACCCCGGCGGCGGCGGTTGGGACCCCTGTGACGGAAAACGCACATCACCAGGGGCGGTTGGGGGCAGGGCAGAAAACAGCACCCTCCCCCCGCCGCCAGCCTCGCGCGCGTCAAAACACAACCCACAACCTCTCCCCACCTGGCATGCGCAGTGGGGAGGCGCCGCGCTGGGGGCGGGGCGCAGTGCTTTAGGCCGAGGCTTGGCCCTTCCCTGGCCGCGCCCGGGTGGGGAGCAAAGTTCCTGATTTTTGGAAGGTTTGGATTTGTTTTGTTTGCCAGTATTGGGGATAGAACCTGGGGCCTTCGTACTGAGCTAACCCGGCCCTTTGCATTTTTTTGAGACAGAGTTTCGCTAAGGTGCCCGAGGTAGGCTTGAATTTGAGACCCTCCTCCCTCAGCCTCCCAGAGTGCAGTTACAGGTTTGCACACTAGGCCTAGCTTTAATCCTAGCTCTTCTAAAGCGCTTGGGCTACAGGACACAAGTTTAACGTCCGTTCCCCACTTACCATAAAATACAAAAAAAGGACCACAGTGTTAAAACCTCTCACCAAACTAGAAATTAACAATTATTTCCTGCACCTCCTGTTACACAGCTAGGAATTAACACTGGAATTCAAATGGAACCCAAATCCAGAGCCCAATTACTATCCTACAGTCTTCAGAGAGAGATCTATTCCAGTGAAAATCATCAGGGCCTGAACTCTTAGCCTGGTAACCTTTTAATCCCCAAAGACTGCTTTTCAAGCCAGGCACACATTGTGCAATTCCGGCACTCGAAAAGCTGAGGCAGGAGAATCACCACAAGGTCGAGGCCAGCCTGAACTGTATAGAAGACCCTGTCTCAAAACAACAAAAAACAAGCAAAAAATAGTCTGCTTTTTTTACCATCCCATTCCTCAAAGTTTTGATTAAAACTGTGCTAAACCGATACCAAAAAGTACACAAAAAGAACATCTGAGCCAACAGCAGTCCACGGTCAAGCTCTACCACAGATGGCTCAAAGGAAAAATCCCCAAGCCGCCCAATTTGGTAAACTGGCATGCCAAACTACCCTATTTTGGGCTTAATATCTCAAACATGTTGCAGTCCTAATAACAATAAACGCTTGCTGATTGGCTAACGTATTATGCCGCTAATGGGCACTAGGTAGCTCTTCTTAGAAATATCATTTACTGTATATATCAACGAAACTACAGTCAAGAACTTGTTGAAGCAACTCGATTAACGATTCCAACTATGATTCGTCAGCAGTATAAAATGGTATTCTTGTTTAAATTAAAGAGCAAAGTGTAAAGGTCCATACAGTATTGTGGTAACAAATGCGAAGCAATTGTTAATTCTTGCAGTCTTTAGCACAAGTGTTAAGATGTGGACTTTTCAAACTGTTAAAAGCACACGACAGCACATTATACTGCATTAGTACTGCACTTCAAGTGGCAATTTAAAAGTTGGAGGGCCACGTCTAGCTTTCTTTGGCGGCAAAAAAGTAAATTTAACCCTATTTTCTCAATCCCTCTATATCTTCCCTGAAAGGCGGGCTAGGACCGGGGTCACATGACCACGCCTCCAACTCCGGGCGGAAGAGCACAGTTGAGACAATGGGAAGCGTCCCGAAGGCGAGTGGGAGAGCGGCCGTGCCCGGCTGAAACATGGCTGCTGCCGCGGGGAAACCAGCGCCCGAGAGGTTACTCTAGAGCCTGCAGCTTTCGCCCGTTGCCGCCGACTGTCGCCTCCTTACCATGAAGCCTGTGAGCCGCCGTACTCTGGACTGGATTTATTCAGCGGTAGGTTCCCGACCTCGGGTGCTCCACAGTGCCAAGTCCCGTGTACTGCGGGCCTCCTATTCTTCACCGCCTAGAAACTCCAAAACCCATTCTAGAACCAAACGGTTCAGTCTCTCACCCGGACTCCGCCTCTTCCTGGAAGACCGTGTCTTCCGCTTCTTACGTAAAGGCTCCTGGGTCTCCTCTCCCTGGGTTTCCGAAATTTCTGCTTTAGCAAAAATTTATAATAACCTAGTGGGAGCAGGGAGCAATTACCACGCACATTCTTTTTTTCCCCCCAAGTTGCTGCTAGCAGTCGTTTTACTCTCCTGGGGATACGTCATCTACGCTTCAACAGTAGTTGCACAGCGACAGCTAAGGAAGAAATACCCAGACAAAATCTTCAGGATGAATGAAAATTTGTAACTTCTAGGTTTTTCACCAAATACAGTTCCCTCATGTTTATGTACTTTGTATACGTAAAATTTGTAATACAGAATTCCCAAATTTAGTTTTGTATATTCCTTTATCGTACTGCAAACGGGCTGGCTGTTGATGGGACAAAAATACCTGCCTTATGTAACTGAAGAGAGAAAAAAGTTTCTTTTGATCCAGGGTTTCAGAGGTTTCAACCCATGGTTAAGAGGCTCAAAGGCAGAAAACTTTCAGGTGTAAAAGGCCTGGTGCAGAAAACTGCTAAATTCATGACATCTGGGAAACAATAAGGGAAGACCTAGACAGAAACATAGACACAGTCCCCAGGGTCACACTTTCATGATACCCCGTGCGCATTTAACTAAGCATCTCTCAAACTCATCAAGTTGAAGATCAAAATTAATCATCACACAACTTTTTTAGATAGATCTAACAACTTGTGAGCATCACATCATAGATAAAAAGTCAAACTTTTAGCAGGGCGTGATGGTGCATGCTTGTAATCCTAGCACTAGGAAGGGTGAAACAAGTAGATCATTGGAGGTTCAAGGCCAGCCTGAACTGCATAGTGAGACTGTCTCAAAAAGACACACACACACACACAACGTTAAGCTTTTCAATCTGGTTTCTAAAATACTTTAAGAATATTTCAAAAAGACTTTTGTAAAAAGGCCAATTTGTTCTTATGTGTGTTGTGTTTTTTGCAATATTTCATTCTATTGCATACCCTCACAACAAAATATCATTCTGTTAGAAAAAAATTATCATGTAACTAATACATCCTATTTTCAAGTCAGGAATGGTCAGGAAATGTGGTTGCTTATATAATTAGTTGAGCACTTCTGTTTATACCTATTATCAAATTCAAAAAGTCCAAAGTTGTACAATGTTTGGGAAGAAATATGAAAACACTTTTCTTAGAGTAAACTTTATTAGTTACTTTTCCAGGAAACCTACTCAGTTAATATAAGAAGAAAAAAAAAACATGGCTTAAAAGCCTTTGACATTTTAAAATAATCTTCAATGATGTTGATCAGGAAATTCTTTCATTGGTGGAATTACTTCTCCAGTCTCCAAAATTGTATCACCCTAAGAAAACAAAGAAGGATTTAGTACAAAAACCTTAAATTTACATAGGTAGGTAGTTCACCTGTACTTCATGTTGGCCAGACCCTAAATAGAAAAGGTAGTTAAGCTCTCACATTGTCACCTAACCCTCACCTCCTTTTTTTCTTTTCAGACAGGAAACAAACTGCACTCTGTGCAGTTTAGGCTGGCCTTGAACTCACTATGTGCTCCAGGCTGGCCTCAAACTTGTGGCAATCCTCCTGTTTCAGCCTTCTAGGTGCTGGGCTTACATATATGTACTACCACACCAGGCTTGGCATTCACTTCACTTTAAAGAGGACCCAGGCAAAGCAGAACCCGTCTAAAGATAAGCAGTATTCACAATTTTAAAGTACTGAGGAAAAAAATAAGAAGTTTCACTCAAACACAATAACCAAAAGAGTTGTGTTTTTCAGGTGTTGAAAGGATAATCTTTTTGCATGATCCAAGAAATAGAAGCCCTAGAAAGAAGTTGCAAGGGCTCAATTCATTATAAGGAAGTAATGTATTCTCAGCAATTCAGTGTGAACCACTGATTTTCCACTGGGTTTACATGTAGGAAATAATGAATTTTTGGCTGGCAGCTGGTCCACGTGACTTTAAACCTAGGTACAGTGTGGTCACCGTGGGGATGGGTTTTGAAGCCAGAATCAAATAATGAGACTCCTAGAACCTCCCCTGACAAGCTGTATAACATTAAGCAAATCAGATAACTTCAGTTTTAGCTGTGTGTTTTAACAGATATTCAATCATCCTGCCAATCCCTGAATGACTACTTAGAGTAGAATTTGTTCAACTCCCAGCCCTTCCCCTGCCACTTCATGAGCTGGTACTACTTAGGACTGTTATCTGATGAAGAAATAGTTCTATATTTAAGCCCACTAAACATTTTGTGGTAAGCCACTAAACTGACAGTTATTACTGGAGCATTATTCTAACACAAAAAAGGCCTTAAAATGGGACTATTACTATTGTTATAAAAGGTAAGCTACATGGCACTGGCCTAGTAGTCCAGTGGCAAAGGCACAGGCAAATAAGGCAGTGGAAACTACTTAGCAAAATGTCTCCCATAATGGGAAGCTGAATGCCTAATGAAGTTAAAGTTTCTAGAAGTAACTTTTCAGAAAAAAGTTATATGCTTGGATCTTACTGGCTAGTTTGGTAATGTACTTGAAGAAACAGTAACTCTGACAAGTGACTGATTGGAGAGAAGAAATGTGAGAATCTAAAAATTCAGGGCTTAGTAGTATTGAAAAATCAGATGGCTTTCAAATTCCTAACAATAAGTCATAATATGAGCTTTTTAGCAACACAGTCCAATAAAAGTAAGCAGAAAGACTTAGTTCTATGGTAAAGATCAAAATGAAGGTAGCTCTTAAACTAAATTGTTTCAGATGTCCTCTACATAGCTGCCACAGGAAGACATATGAGGCCAAAAAAAAATGAGGGAACTTTCCCAGAGTCAAATGACTAGAAGTAAATGATTAGGTGCTTATTTTTCTTTGCTTGCTAAATGTTAAGGGAAATCTGTGGTCAAGGAAATCCAACATTCAGATTATAAAAGCCTGTGAGTGTTTGAAATTACAATTACTTGTGGGACTGAACCTATGAGCAGGAGGCAGAATTTGCAGGTTGTACAACTCTTAAGGACTACTTACCAATACCATTTAGCTGTGGTCTAAAAACATCCTGGACAGAGCGAGGGACCAGGAAAAACAATGGATAGAGGTGTTCCTTCCAGGAAATAAGATCAGCGCCCATTCAAGTAATTTTCTACACATGAGTCTTTACAATATTTGACTATTAAGACCTCAAAATTGTCAAGAAAAAGTGACTGCTCTGTTTCCCACATCCTACCACTGAACCATGGGTATGGGGGTGGGAGAGGCTACAATTAAATGTTTTGTCTTCCTAGTTCACTGGTCTTCAAATCAAGAGAAGTCATATTTGAATGTGACAGACACTACTGTGCATCACCTGGAGAGCTTGGATTGGGGGCTGACTACAGTTATGAAATGGTCTTTAGGATCTTTTTTCTCTAGGGGACAGACTGAGTGTTCTATGTGTAAGAAGAAGGAAGCAAAAAGCTACTGGTGCCTAGAAGGATGGACTGTGGCAAAGATTTCATGCACGGGAATCTCAAAAACTAGGAAAGAACCCATGAATATTTAGGATAGTGAGAATGAGTTCTGGCCAATAGGATGTCAGAAGTAATGTAAGATACTCAAATCATCTTTATACTTTAAAATCATCCAGAAATATTTAGCCTTTTCTTCCTCCCAACGCAATCTAGACTGTCTCACTCTAGAGTGATAGCTATAGAAGACTATAAAATATAGCCTGATTCACTTGTGATGTCAAAAAAAAAAGTTTTGTTAAGATTTGTGTGGTTCTTGGGGCTCAAGCGGGATTTAGCTCAGTGGTTCAAGCACTTGCCTAGTAAGCATGAGGTAGTTGAGTTCAATCCCCAATACCAAAAAAAGCAAACCAAAAAAAATTGTTTGAAAAGCCGGGTGTGGTGGCACAGTCCTATAATCCCAGCACTCAGAAAGCTAAGGCAGAAGGATCACTGTGAGTTTCAGACCAGCCTGGGTTACAAAGTGAGGCCAAGGCCAGCCTGAAACTCTGTCTCAAAAAGACACACACACACACCAAAAAAAAAAAGATTATGAGGTTTCTACTGCTTATCCTGTTGTAAAACAGGTATCCAAGTAGACATTCTTTAGTTTCTTACAAGGAGAAATTCTCAACAGGCTCAATGGCATAGAAAGAGAAAAGAACAGGAAGATTTAAAAAAAAAAAAAGCAGAAATTCTATAGAAGCACAAATGTGTTCTTCTAGAGAGTGCCCTCCTTTTTGTTTGAACAAAAATGGCAAAATACATAAAAACTAAGTAAACATAACTAGAATGAGTAAATGTCAATCACCCAGCTAACAAAATCAGCAAGAGAATTTCCTATTGTGAGACCATCTAGGTCCTGACACGTATCAATTATACACAAGGAAATAATAAAAGAAAAATCCTATTTATTTCCTAAAGCAAAATTACAATTGAGATGGTTAGCCAATTTCAATAGTTCTCTCTAACATTCTTACTGTAACAAATAATGGATTATTGTGACATGTATCATTTGATTAAAGTAAAAGTTAACCCTGAGTTTGGCTAGTTTTGTTTGGATACCATTAATACTATCTCCCTCTATATAATCTAGTTTAGCATCAAACTCACTATCCTGCTTTGCCTCAGCTTCCCAAGTGCTAGGATTGGAGGTATAAACCACCACACCCTGGGGAGTTTTTATAGTTTAGAATTTATACTTATGGTTGTTTACTGATTATCTGTGCTTAGAAATAAACCATAATGAGTATTTTACTGTACTAAACAATAATATCCACAACAGCTAATAAAACTGCCAACTGACCACTTAACAGTCTTAATGCTGAAAGAATTTTCAATTAGTATTAGCGCCTAATATTCACAGCATAAAATTTTAAATACATTAATGGGTTTTGTCTTCAGATGAAAAACTTCAGGTCAAACCATGAAAACGAGGCACAAAGCTACACAATGAGAGAAATCACAGAGAAAGCTGCTATCACCATGCTCAGGTGTCTGCTCAAGTTCAGAGCCTACATACATCACTCAACATGAGTCAGCACTAGGGAAAAACTGTTGCTACTGTCCGCTCACTTTAGGATAGTCAAGGTCATAAAAAAAGTTCAAAATTAATGTTTCCATTTCCCATTTTCAACTAATTGCTATCTCAAACTATTTCTTCCTTTTACTTTTTTTAAACAACACAAAAACAGGCACCTCAGCTAACATTTAAGAAGGAACATTTTAGACTAATGATCAATTGGGTCAGTATAATGAAAAAAGAAAAATGAGTTAACTTACTGGGAATATTCGGGGCTTCCTTTCAACGATGGCATATGGTTTTTTCTGCAATACAGATAATTCTGTGTCAATTATGATTTTAGAGTTTCTTCTGAAAATAAGTAGATCACATCCCAAATTTTAATTTAAGGCCCAAACTTACACATAATTCCAGACTCATGCACCCAACTATTTATTCAGTATCTCTACTTGACTATTAACAGGCATCTAAAACCCAGCTAGGTCTAACATTTACCTTCTCCCAGCTCCAAACTGCTTCTCATGTTCCCTGTCTTTTATTTCCCTCATTTCAAAGACCAAAATCATCAACTCCTCAGCAGATCCTGTTGAATCCACACTAATACTGTACCCTGTCTCCAAGTGCTTTTCCCCACCTCTAGGACAATCACCCTTGCCCAATCCTTTATCACTTTTTCACTTGAGCAGCTGCAATAGCAAGTACTGCTTGCCTCCCTGCTTCCATTGGTGACCTCCATAATGAAGGTAGACTAGGGTAATCCTTGTAAGGGGTGTACTTTTCTGCTCAAAATTTCATAATTATTAGAGAAAAATGCAAAAGTCCTTGCTCTGATCTGTAAGACCCTACAAAAGCTAGCCCTTGGCATCGTGTCTGATACTCTACCACTCTCTCCTTCACTCACTGTACTATAGCTACAGCTGTTCCCCAAGCTGTTAGTTCACTCAAGCTGGTTCTGTGCCTTTGTATTTACAGTTTTTTTCTTTGTATTTATTGATTCCTTTATCAGAAATGGTCTTCCAGATATCTGCTTGACCTAAAATCTCATTTAATTTATTTCAATTTTTAATTCCTCAAGTCTAAGTAAAAACCCTTGTCATTCTTTCTCTCTCTTTTTTTTTTTTTTTTGCTTTTTTGAGATAAGGTCTCACTCTGCAGTTCAGGCTGGCCTTGAGCTCATTTTGTAGCCCAGGCTGGACTCAAACTTGCAGTGATCCTCCTCCCTCACTCTTCCAAGTGCTAGAATTACAGGTGTGCACCACCATGCTGGGCCAAATCATTCTCTTATCTTTTAACCCTGCTTAATTTTTTTTTCTAGAGATACAACCACTTTCTTATGTTACATACCTGTTTACATAAAAACTATTGTAAATACCACAGGAAGGCAGAGATACAGTCTCCTTTGTTGTTGTTTCTCTGTGTGTAGTACACGGGGCTGGGGATTTAGCTCAGCAGCATAAACACCTGCCTTGCAAATGTGCAGTCATGAGTTCGCTCCCCAGTATCGATTAAAAAAAAAAAAAAAAAAAGGCATGCATGCGGAAAGGTCAAAATAAATTTGTTGAATAAATGTACTTTTAAAGCAAATGGACGGATGTCTAGATAGACAGATATACGATTTCCCACATACAAATATTTAAAACATTGGTATGATATAAAACATGGCATGCTATAAGACATGAATGTAAGACACAGGGAACTGGAATATGAGGAAAAACTCAATACAATTAGGACTTTACAATGAGGATATAAAGTGTTTTTATTTAAGAACTGGTCAGGCTAGGTGTGGTGGCATCTACCTGTAATCCCAGTTACTCTAGAAACTGAAGCAGGAGTATCCAAAGCTCATGGCCAGAACACTTATTGAAATCTTATCTCAAAACATTAAAGAAGAACTACAGATATAATTCAGTGCTCCCTTTTAAATCCCAAGAAAGGGAAGGGGGAGAAGACTTTCAAATGTTTTCAGAGAGACTATAATTGAATTAGGCATCAAAGGAGTTAGTGGAACTATATTTGGCTCTAATGTTATTAAAGGGGCCTACCCCACCTACCCAAATAAAAAAAGATAGAAAAAGAGTGTCAGTGAGTGGCCTTGGGATCTCAACTATGACTAAAGATACACCTGAAAGTGTGAATCCCTGAGATAAGTAACCCTACTAATGCCCTGTCAGCTGCAGCTTGTAAATCTGCCTCTCATGGAATGTATGTTATCTCTTGAATCCTAGAAAATTTCAGTGAAATATCAATTGTAAAGCAAGTTTAACCCAGTATATAAATAGAAAAATATTAACATTTGAAAATTCTGAAAACACTGACATAGTGTTTATAATGTTTAAGTTACTGTTACTAGTAGAGAGTCTTAAGAGATTAGGTTTAGGATTCTAATTAAAATGGATAATTGGTTTGGACTTGTAATTTTAAGTTCAAAAAATTTTGCTTCTTAGAATCAGAAATTCACCCTATAAAAATTTTACCCAATTCTTTACGAACAGAAAACGCACTCCTGGGTGTTACAAAAGACCCTGACAGGAAGTAATATTTTTGTTCTCTAGGGATTACATGCTAAACTACTGAAAAAATAACAGCTGTGTAACAATATGAAATGACCTTTGGCACTGGTGAACATAAAAATTTTTAAGCCCAACAGATATGTAAGCCATTATCTGACCCTTAGAGGTATTAATCTACTGTGTCCTAGTAATGATAGGATTTTAGCATGTAATCTGTTAACTTCTGGTGTTTCTTCTCCCTTTGTTTTTTGTTGCTGTTTTGTTTTGTTGCTGTTGGGTTTTGTTTTGTTTGAGACAGGCTCAATGTGTAGTCCAAGCTGGCCTAGAACTAGCAATCCTACCTCAGCCTTGAGTGCTGGGATCAGAGATGCACCACCATCCCCAGCTTCAAAAGTGTCTTTTGGCTTTTCTTCTTCTTCCCTGCTGTCTTCACCCTAATCAGACTAACTGATTAACATTACTACACCGCAAAAGGCTAATCTGCCTGGTATCTGACTTTGCTCCCTTTAGTTCACCTAGATATAAATGTTTTTCTACAGTTTTCCTCACATTCATCAATTCACTCTCATTTAAGAAAGCTGCTTACTGCCTATCATGTACAGCTCAACCTCTTCTGCCTAGTGTTCAGGACGTTCCACAAACTGGTCCCAGTCTACTGAGTCAACAGAGCCTTCCACTCTATTCATCACTTCATTCTTGGGCACATATGGCTATGTTCACTATTTACTCCATAGCTCTCCTAACCGGAGTAACATTTCTCTGGCATATTTTTACTCAAGTCGTATCTGTTATCTGACATTATACACGTTCCTTGAAGTCAAGAAATTTACTTTTGTAATTTTTTTCTATAGTAGTTCATACCTGTCATCCAATATTATATACATTCTTGAAGTCAGAAATTTATTTTTGTATCTTTTTCTGTACCAGTAAAGGAAAATGATATACTAGGCACCCCATTCTTACGATCAAGGGACATAATCTCTTAAGAACTAAGCAGAGAACTAAGATGATGTCAGAAATCAGAATTTTAAAGAGCCTATCAGTCAGCAAAGAACTAATCAATATTTAGAAGTAATTTTCTGAGATCTCCAAACAATTTTGATTATTTATTTCATGTTCCCTTCAACAAGCTAACAAAGAACATCAACTGAATTATCTAAAACTTGTTGGGCAATTCTTAGCTTTTATTTTGAAGTAATTGTAAACAAAGTTTTGTAAGAATAATAAAAAGATTTTTTTCTTGAATTGCTTTATAGTAAATTGCTGACTGGATAACTATTATGTCTATCCTACTGGAACAATATTCTTAAAATAATTATAACCACCAAGAGCAGTAGGTAAACACTGACACATTACTACCTCTATCTGGCCTAATGAATACTTTCATTTTACCAACCCTCTCAGTAATTGTTTGAACACCATTTACGTAACTTGCTCTCCACTGACTGAATAGGATCTTGAAAATCCTGCCTGTTCTTGTAATGAAGTCCACTATTTAAGAACTGTATTAGCAAAATGCTTGGTGGGAGGCAGTGTTGAGGATGGAACCTTGGCCTTACACACACTAGGCAAACACTCTACTGACGTATATCCCCAACCCTCAAGAATTATAGATAGATGGCACATCTCGTCAGTATTCTTCAATCTGGAATAATTCGGACATCATTTAACTTTCATGACCTTGACATTTTTGACAGTAACAAGCCAACAGTTATGTAGAACAGTCCCTCAGTTTGGGTTTGTTTCCTCATAACTGAATTCAGCTTATGTATTTTGGCAGGGATATCACAAAATTAATATTGTTTTATTCTTATTGTATCTTTTCAAGTAGCACATAATTTAAGTTTCTCCCATTAGTGACACTATTAAGGTCTTGACTGCCATTATTTATTTTAATGTTCATATTGTCACTATGAGAGTCCTTTCAACCTTATTCTATGTCTTTTTTTATATTCATATTATTCTTTGTTCATCCCTTTACTTTGTAGTTCAACAATATGTTCTAAGCTCTTCGTTTTGTACTTTTCCCAATGCAGCCTTGGAACCACCCATTTCCAAGGACCTCTTCATCCTTTTGGTGGAGAAATGTGGAGCACTGCTTCTTCAGGGCTTCTCAGTGGATAAAGATAGAGAATACATATATACAAGCCCACACATATAAACCCCTTTGTATCTATATTTCTGTATCTGTCTATGAACACAGAGTAAAAGCCATGAATTCACACCAATACTTCCAATTCCATTCCAGCACAAGGGTTGTTTTTTTTTTTTTTTTTCTTTTTCATATATGTAGCTCCCATTTCAAAGAGTGAAAATCTTGGATACTGTTATCAACGTATGTACTCATTTGAATCAATCACCCTCTATACATAACAGATCTCCTGTCAATACCACCATACCCCAATCTGTATAACCTCAGCCATTTAGGGTCTTACATCTTACTCTGGGTTGCCACCTCCAATACTGTCCCATAGCACCTTTCTCCAGATGTCCTACTCCCTCTGCTCAGATTCCAGTGTCTTATAGCAGGCTGCTGCCAATGCTACTCCTCCCTTTTGGAGAAATGCCTGATTCCAGGTCTGGGGCAGGAAAAGTTAAACTGAGTTTGGAAAATACTGTTGAGTTAGAAAATAAAGAAGTACCTAAGGATTGTTCACCTTCCTCCCTGGCAGTCCAATCAGGATCTATCATCCACATCGCTCATTGAGAGTAAGAATGCACTTGTAGCTCTGTGTACAACAGTCTACACAGGGCAGCCCCACCACTTCCTCTTCTATACCATTCTACAAATATGCATATGCCCTCCTCATTGTGGGATTCAGCATCACACCTCAGACTTTGCTAGCCCTGGTCTTTAAAATATGGCAGTTAGCTCTACTGAATCAGCTACTGTAAGATCTTTCCGTGAAAAATTCATTTTTGTACATCCAGGATTCTAAAGAAAGAAAATTATGAAAAACTCGATAAAAACAAAGAAAAGAGAAACAAAATGACAGCATAGATGCCACTTATCTATTTGAATTTTATACCATACTTACGATAAAAAAAAAAAAGACAAAAGTTGGTATATTTTCCCCTTTTATTCAAGATCCTGTGTTTACACTAGTATTATTAGCTCATTTACATTCTCACCATTTAAATATTACTTCTACTAGGAAAAGCATTTCAAATTGTGAACTAATATAAAGAGTAGTTTTTAAAATATTGTTTCTTTAAACCTTTTAACTAAGAGGACTCAAAGTGCTTCCAAGTCAGCAGTAAGTTATTAAGTGCAGGTTTTTTACACAAATATGGCATGCCCACATCAGAAATTAATTTGCATAATGTAAAAATAAATTCTGAAAATATAATTAAAACATACTTACAGCCATATGATACTTGACATAATAGTGAACAATCCAGGCTGGTATGAGTACATGAGTAACAGCAAAGATACTGCGCCAGTACACCTTATATATCTGAGGGAAAAACACACACAAAATAAAGATATCGTTTTTTATGTTTATCATGATTATTTTCCAAATTTCTAAAAAGAATTTACCTTTCTATAGTCTGTAGATGACCTCACCCCATACTACTTAGTAAAATGGAGGGTCTGTCACATGATACTGTACATACAGCCCAGGGTAAATAAGGCCTAAGACAAGTAACATTTTGGTATGGCACATTAGACTTTTTGTTTTCCACAAAGATTTCTGAAAGTATGTATCAATACTGTAAACTTGTCAAAGGTAAAACATGGCTCCTAAAAATTCACAGGGAAACACAAAAACCCCAGAATAGCTCCCCCGCAAAAAAACCTAACCAAAAGTAACAAAAGCAAAGGTATTGTTTGATTTCAAACTAAACCACAAAACCATAGTAATAAAACAGCATAGTCCTGGCATCAAAATAAGACATGTAGACCAATAAAACAGAATAAAAGACACAGAAACAAACCCATGTAATTATAGTCAGCTGATTCTGGACAAAAGCACCAAAAATATACACCAGAGAAAATACAGTACAGACTGTTAAGATTTGAAACTAGATCCCTGTCCCTCACCCTGTACAAAAATTAACTCAAAATAGATCGAAGACCTATATATAAACTTTTAAATTACTAAAAGAGAACCTAAGGGAAGCATTTGAAGCTGTAGGCACAGATAAAGACTTCCTGAATATCACCCCAATATCTCAATACATAATAGCAAAAATTGACAATTAGGAATATATCAAATTAAAATATTTCTGCACAGTAATAGAAATAACTAAGAACAGACAGCCCATATAATGGGAGAAAAATATTTTCTAGCTGTGTTTTGACAGATATTTTAATATTTTAAAATTCAAAAACACAAAAAATCAAAGATCTCAACCAATAAGTGGCAAATTAATTGAAGTCACTTTTCAAAAGAAGTACAAATGGCTAATAAATGTATGAAAAACACTCAACATCTTTAATCATTAAGGAAGTCCAACTTAAAACTATAGTGAAACTCAATTTCACCCCAATCGTAAAGGTTATGATTAGAGTACAAAAAATAGTAAATACCATCAGGATTGGGAACGAGGAACCCTTCTACACTGCTATTAGGAATGTAAATTAGCATAGCAACTAGGAAATCAATATGGACAGTCCTCAAAAACCTAAACACAAAGTTACCCATCCTCAATAAAGTTATAGAGCTACCCAGTTGTACCACTCCTCGGTGTATACCAAAAGCATTAAAGTCAGCATACTGTAGAGATACTGGATACCTACGTTGAAGACAATGTGCCGTGCACAATAGTCAAGATAAGAAACCAAGGTACCCAAAACACATGAATAAAGAAAATGTGGTACAGTACATAATGGAATATTACTAAATCATAAAGAACTGCCAAGTGTGGTAGCACGTGCCTATAGTCCCAGCACTTGGGAGGTTTCGGCAAATGGACTGCCAGGAGTTCAGTCTCACGCTGGACTACATAGTGAGTTCAAGGCCACCCTGAGCTACGTAGTGAGATAGTGTCTCAAAGTAAAACAAAATCATAAAGAATGAAATTTGTCATTTGCAGGAAAATGGTTGAATCTTAAGGTAGTGCTTTATATTACAAGCAGCCTAAAAATATCATGTTAGGGCTTATTTCCCACCTAGGTCTTATTTTGGGAGAAATATGGTAGTTATAAGTTAGCTGACATTAAGTGTGCCAATGCTTCAAAAACAATGTTTTACATACTGAGTTAGGGGTGTTCCAAACTCATTCTGACATACTATTTGTAAGAGAAAGACAAGCTGGGTGTGGTGACATATGCCTATAATCCCAGCACTGGGGAAGTTGAAGCAGGAGGACTGCCATGAATCTAAAAAAAAAAAGAGAGAGAGACAGACAGACGGAGAGAGGAAAGATGGAGAGAGGGAGAGCTCGAGCGAGGACTCAAGAGACAAAGGAGATACTAAAGTGTAACTTCATGGCAGCTAATTTGACTTAAACACACCTATTCTGCCAGGGAAAAGTCAAACTAGAGTCTAAATATTACTACAGATGTAATTACAGAAGAAAAATCAAAGTAAGGTAAGATGAAATTCAACAAATAATATTTACTCTTAAATTACTGGCCAATGAGTGAGATTTCAACTTTCAACCAGTGACTGTCAAAATCAACAGGAAGTATCAGGGATATATTGTGATAGGCTTTAATTAAAGAGTTCAATCTTACCACTATAAATCTCTCAGAAAAATTTACACCAATTCTCATGTACTGGACTCTGTAGCACAATAAAACTAGATAAGTGTGCTTTTCAACATGAACTTCAATTTGTACCTCTGTGTCCATGAGTAATTCATTGAATTTGTTGTAGGCCTGTCTTCGCAGGTTTAAAATGAGGCTTAAATCATTTTATACTATACAGGAGTAAAATGAAAATAATAAATGTAAAATCCTCAACAGAATGTTGCACATACATAATGCGCACCCAATGCACCTTATTAGAATTACTGTTATTTTTATTAGCCACTGTTGTGGGTAACAGAAAGCAATTCTGCTAGTGTTCACCTTCATAACTGTTGTGATTAACAGACTTCAGAGATACATCCAGCATGCTGAAAATAAAAACTTCAAGTGAGTGATTCGGTCTATCAAAATGTCATCTTACAGAATAACTTAAAAGTAAACAGTGGCAGTTTAGAATACGACTCCCTAAGCGTACAACAATACCTTGACTTTTTATTCCATAACACGGGCTGTATTACCAGCCAGGGGTCCTCTGGTGAATGGGTACAGTGTATAACTTCAACCTTAAAAGCAAGGCTACGGTCCCCAAATACTGAAATCACAGAAGTTTAATTCTACTGGATCCTTGGCTGTTGTTCTGGGAAGATTTCTACACCACACGTGCAGCATTCTATAAAACGCAAGATTCGCCCCAGTCTCACTTCAGTTGACAGGAATTGAGCATAGTTCTTCAAAGCCAGACGTACTTCTGGACTTCTGATTCCACAACAGGACTCTCAGGACAAGACAGTGTCCTCACTAAACCTAAGTACTTTTGAATCTGATTCTCTCTCGGCAACTCCGGAGACTTGCGGGCTCAGAATGTCAGTCCCTGTCATGGGCTGACGCCCAGTGGCCTGGCAAGGCGCCACAGAAAAGTGTGTACCGAGACGGGGACGCTCCCTCACTCACCATCTGCTTCCAAGGGGCCCTGTCCTGCAAAAATGTATTCCAGAACTGCTCCAGAGGCCACATCCTCCTGGGGGGGAGCACTGGCTCCCGAGCACTCAGCTCCTGGTCCTTCAGCCATCGTCTTCTCAACTCCCGCAGCTGCTGCAGCCGCAGTTTTTCATCTGGCGTGTACCCGGTCATCTAGCCGCTGACTGCAGGAGGAAAATTACTCGAACCTCACTTAGGAGCGCTCCCACTCCGCAAAGCGACCTTTAGAGGACGCCTGGGAGCCGCGCGCGTCATGACGTCACATCCTGAGTCCGCCTCCGTAGCGTCGCTGAGCGCCTAGAGGAGCAAGCGGATTCAAGCATGCGCAGAGCTCTCCACCTGCGTCTTATTTTGGCCTAGTATACAAAAGGAGGGTGGGTTGGTGATCCCTTAGTAATGGGAAGAGGAGGGTAGGGACAAGCAAGATTAAATTTATAAAAAGCAATCCCTAAAAATCCAGTCTAGAACGCCACATGTGGGTCAAACCGATATAATGGGTAGCATAATCTCAAAGAGACACACAATTCTAATAATCTTTAAGCCAGTTATTGCATATCCATAAAAATACTCCTCAAACACACGCAAAAAACAACTGCAGGAAAAAAAATCTTGGACTATTTTAAGCAGTTGTTGAGAATAGTCTTGGTGGTTGAAGTACTGTTACTATGACACTGAAAATAAATGTTAATGTTACTATTTTTGCTATAGGTGAAAGGATATTGTGTGTGTGTGTGTATATATATATACATATATATGTATATATAATGAGATTAATTTAAAATCCCATAGTCCTGAATTCTGAGTAGGAAAAATCAGTATGAATTTGTGATGTATTTTATTTTTAAAAAGAGGTATCATTTTGTCTTAGCCTGTTGATTAAAAAATGTTTAATGTTTAAAAAGTGGTCAGCCCTGTAATTAACCATCTTTGGTTCCCAAACTCAGCCACACACCAACTAGGCAAGCTTTTCCACTGAGCTACAACCCCAACCTTACCTCATTTTCCATCCAAAGGTGCAAAGCTCCTTGAAGGAACAGTCCTCCAATGCGTTGCTTACTCCAAAATCTTTAAACTCTTCAGAATTTTTGAAGACTCCAAGGAGCTTTTATGTGGATTGTATTCATTGATGTTTACTGTATTTAAAATTAGTACTTTTTTTTCTTGGTGCCAGAAATCAAACTTAGGACCTCAGGCTTGCCAGGCCTGAACTATGCCACTGAGCTATACCCCGGGTCCAAAATTAAAATATCATAAAAGTAATAATACACTCACCGAGAAAAATTATTTAATAAGAGGACTGCTGTTGTTTTACAGTTTTGTGCTTGCTTTTAATGTTTATTTTACTAAACGACAGCAGGAGTCTCATGACTACTTCTGTTTTCACTCACGTATCATGTAGCCTGTGGACTACTCTTTATACATTTGGAGAAAATAAGAGTTTTGAAAGGGAAAAGCATGTTGGTATTATTATGGAAAAAATTTTTGACCTCACAGACTCCATAAAAGGATCACAGACATTCCCTGCATTCTGTAAGCCATACTTTAAGATCTATCATTTTAGAGAAATAGCTAATTCCTGGTCTAGGTTAAGAAATACAAAAAAAAAAAAAAAAAGTCTGGGTCTTCTTGTTACACTAAACAGCAGAAAATTTTGAAGACTAATAGGGTCATGTTAAAAGGACTTTTAAGCCAGTTTCAGTTGGATCCCATTGCTCAGAGATTGAAAAATTTGAGCATCAATTAATAAATTTAGTGGGTTTTAAAATATGAAATACATGTGAATTCAGAATAGTTTTTTAAAACATTTGTTTCTTTTGTGTTATATTACGGAACCAGCTGGTTATTTTGAAATCTGATGAGAAAAAAAAGCCTTTTTTTGTACACTTGATAGAAATTGCATCTAAAAGTAACAAAATAGCTCAAATTTCTTCAAAGAAGCATAAAAATCTGGTTTAAAAAGGATTGGTAGTTAGAATATCACCATTTTGCAACCCTTTATTCATAAATCAATCAGTGTGATCATCATCAATGACTATAAATGTTTTAAAAAGAAAACAGTAGCACCCCTAGTATAAGGTTTACTTACCACAGTACTTATGAAATAGCTTTGCCAAAGAAATTGAACCTGAGTCTGGATGTGTTTCTAGAAGAAACTGTGCCTATAAAGGAAATGCAGGGGACAGAAGCACTCCTTATTCAACAGCAAAATGAAGCATGCAGGTAAATCTATGTTTTAAGGAATGCACACAAGAGACTGTTTCTTTTTTCATACATATTTGCAGTTCATGCCATTTACAATCATCTTGGGGAGGGGTTACATGTACATAACACAACTTGTTTCTTTTTAATCTCCTTCCCCTCCTCTCTTCACCTATTTTTCCCCAATATCTCTATCCCATTTTTCATTCTTGTTATTAATATTAGTTCATGTTATGATATATATTGTTTACATCAATTGAGGTTATTACAGTCCTGTACACACCATACCTTTATTCTATTTATTTCCCCTTCTGTTCCTCCTCACCTTTCCTTTTCCCTTGGACCACTTCTCTACTGCAAGAGATCCATCTCCTAATCTCTTTCTATCCACTATTATTATTCTCTTTGTACTTTGTCTTACTCAAATGACAGATATTGTATGGTATTTAAGCTTGTGTGTCTAATTTATTTCACTCACAATATATTTTTCAATGTATCCATTTTCCTATAAATATCTCAAATCTGTCATTCTTTTTTAGCAGAGTAGTACTCTATTAGATACATTACATATTGATACTACATTGTTTTTAGCCTGTCATTTATTCATGGATATGCAGGTTTATTTCCAGGATTCAGCTATTATAAGTTGTGTTGCTATAAAAAACAGTATGCATGTGTTGCTGTAGAATGATGTGGCTCTTCTTCTTAAACAAAGAAGTATGTTTACGGAAAAAGAGAAAAGACTATGTAGACTAAACAGGTAAAGAGGAAAATTTGAACACTATCTTGATATAATATTGAAACTGTTGTCAATTTTGAGATTTGTTTTTTTTTTTTTTTTGTCTTTTTCTTTTTTATCGGTACTGGGGATTGAACTTACGACCACACACTTGCAAGGCAGGCGCTTATGCCACTGAGCTAAATCCCCAACCCCAGTTTTGAGATTTTTTATATATGAAGATATTGTGGTTATGTTTTTAAAGGATAGCTCTAATTTTCCTATACATTGTTAAAGGATAGTTCTAATTTCTAATTAGAAACTTAGATAGCTTCTAATTATAGAATTATATATCTAATTCTACATATAACTAGTATATATAAGTATCTAATTATATAATTACAGTTATATAATTAGTTATATTTTTAAAGAAGGATAGTTCTAATTTCTAATTTTCATCTGTATCTTATAAGATACAGATGAAAAATATGGCTCTTGGAATTTACTTTGAAATAATTTTAGAGGGAGGAAAGAATTATGTAGGAAATAAGATTAGTAATGAGTTAGCAGTTATCAAAGCTCTGTGACAGGTAATGAAGCTCATTTTAGTCTTCTCTTTGTACTGTTTTTTGCATATTTGAAATTCGTTCAAATAAAAATTTTAAATGTATACCTTAAGTAAACTATGTATTTAAGCAATTTTTAACCTGCCTTCTTTCTTGTATCATCTATATTTTGTGTTATAATCTTGCAGCTTACCTGGGTTGGAGCCCTCAATTCTGTTATAATGAAATGCAAGCAATTAGTGCTGAGACAAGAATAAGTCTCTGAGTGTTTGGCCCAATGAGGTGTTTGATAATCCAAATAAATGTTTCTTTTGTAAGTGGAGCTAGATATGTCTAGCACTTTCTTTAGTCTGAAACCATTATTCTGGCTTACTCTGGGAAGTTCCTACAGTACCTCACTTCCTTCCACTACCATATTTGAAAAGAAAAAGAAATCACTATTGTTTAGAAAGACGGTTTTATACCCCTGATGACTGACTACCATAATCCACCCCTTTCCAATTACTAAGGCTATAAAATTCACAAGGCCGAGTAGAACAAAAATAAAGCGGTGAGAAAATGTGTTCAGCTTGGCACTGCTGGATAAGGTGAATTCCAATTCAGAGAAGCAGCGGTACAATTCAAGGTACCGCTGCTCCTAGACGTTCCCACAAGAGGGCACTCTAACCTGCAGAAAACTTGCACATAACAAAATCATCGGAAATCAGCTCCCAAAACGGAGAGAGATCTAAATTTTAGTGGGCAGGAAACAATGGGCCGGGAGATGAGATGAAAAATGTCTTCCATCAGTAAACCTCTTCAACTTTCTGTCTAGTAGAGGTCTACAGTTCCAGCTGTGTTTTCTAAACCCTGTAGGGAACCTGGCAGAGTGTACTAGTTAGCAAACACAGGAGGTCTTTAGTAAATGTCTTTACTAAATTGTCTTTAGTAAACACAGAGGCTAATCTAAGGCCACCAGACTGTCTGCAATCAGGAATTGAGCTAAGAGTTCCACAGGGATCCTTTTTGTCTTTTAGGCAATAATTTAAAAGTCTCATATTGTCTTCACTTGCATTACTTAACCCAAATCATTGAAAAAAATATTTAATTTCTCTAGAAATTGCTTGATCTCCATATGAGTATTACATTTGTTTTTAGCTTTAAAAAGCTGTATTGCCTTAACATACAAGGCATCATTATTTGCAAAATGACAAGGAGAAAAATTTATCCATGTTAATCAGAAAAGTCTGTAAAGATGTGTTAAGGGGCAATCTCCACTTTGAAACAGTGCTTTTGAAATATACAGAAACCAGTGTAATCAGCAACTTCTTAGTGAAATCTATTACTTACATAGGGAGAATTTTACTCTGTACTAGACATGAGTCTTGATTTGTACCCTCAGTTGGACTTTGGGAGCACAGCAGGCATGCCAATCACTGTCCTACTGTCGTCTGATCTCAGCTAAGCAAAGTAAATCACTTGCCTAATATCTTTTCTTGTTTTATTTTGTCTTGTTTTGTTACAGTGCCAGGAGTTGAGCTCAGGTTTTATACATGCTAGGCAGGCACTCTACCACTGAGGTATATTCCTAGCCCTTTTAAAATTTGTCTTAAAATACAGTTTCCCACGCTGACTTAGAACTTTTGATACTCCTTCTTCAGCTTCCCAAGTAGTTGGGGTTATATACCCAGGACACATATTTACTGATGGTTGGATTCTTACACTTTCAGTCAATGTCAACTTTAGAAGCAGAGACTGATTAAAATCACTAACAGAGAAAGTCTTCCATGTGTTTGCATCTCTAC